GCAGGTGTCCAAAAAACGGGACATCGTCTTGCGGCTTCAAGGAGGTCGACTCCAGCGTATAAGTCAGCTCAGCCATGCATACTCCCCACTTCACTATGTCCTTCTCTTTCCATATGGAGAGAAGGGCTGGCACCTTGGAATACCTCTAATTCTCCCCCCAAATACCTGCACAGTCGCAAAGAATGTCACTCAGCTGTTGTACTATGCCTATCGACTTCATCCACACCCTGTTCCCATCTATCACAACAATATCTTTCGTGGTGGAAGATTGTTCCAGCAGTATATCGTCAATGTTTGGGCCTCCATCGAACAGAGCAATTTGAACTGGATCAGGAGCAACCAAGAGCGGCTGAGGGCGGACTGCTATCAAGGCTTAGCAGATAATTCGCGGTGCAAAAAGCACTTTCCAAAAACATTCTGTCCCCAGACCCTGATGAAGGATGATGGCTATCCCGAGTATGCGAGACCTGACAATGGTCGCACCATCCAAAAGAACGATATCATCTTCACCAACAAGGATGTTGTTCCACATCCCCCCAAACTGCTGGTGGAATTCAACTGCCACATCAATCTTGAGGTCTGCGCCTCTATCAAATCTGTCAAATACATCCACAAATACATCTATAAGGGAAACAACCACGCTATGTTGGAGATGAGAGGAGCGGTGGATGAGGTCAAATCATATCTGGACTCGAGATATATCAGCTCAACCGAGGCTGCATGGCGCATCTTCAAATTTTCAATGCATCTCGAATGGCCCTCTGTCTACTGTTTGCCGGTCCATCTCAAAAATGAACAGATGGTGTTCTATGACCCCGAGGATGATGCTGAGGAAGTCCTTGAGCGCGCAGAAGTGAAAGATACTTGCCTCACTGGATGGTTCAAAGCCAATGCCAATGAGAGCTTGGTGGCAGCTGGAGCCCACGACAGCCTCTATCAGGATTTCCCCTCAAAATTTGTTTGGAGCAAAGGTGCATGGAAGATACGGGAGTGAGGAATGGTGATTGGAAGAATGTATGCTGCTGCGCCCAGCTCCGGAGAGTGCTTCTATCTGAGATTGCTTTTGACTGTAGTGAAAGGTATGATGTCTAAGACAATTTTTATCAATCAAGCTCACCATAATTTCAAGGGGCTACCTCCTTTGAACACCTTCGGACACATGATGGGACTCTCTATGAGACTTTCAAGGAAGTGTGTTGGCACAGGGGTCTGCTTGATGATGATTACGAATGGATCCAGTGCTTGCGGGATGCCTCTCATATGTACACAGGAAATCACATGCGCAATCTCTTTGCCATCATCCTACTGCACTGCAACCCTACCAGCCCTGATGATCTTTGAAACCGCTTCAAGGAAAATCTCTGCGATGATCTGCGTCACCGCCTCACTCACGCACCGTTCAACATGCCTGAACCCACAGAGGAACAGGTACACGACTATGGTCTTCATCTCATTGATGGCATGCTCCACAAAAATGGCAAGTCTTTGGAAGCAATTCCTCAAATGCCAGTAGCTCAAATGGCAGAAAGATGGGGGGTCATGGAGGGCAACCAGCTCATCACTGAGCAGCGTCAGTATGACCTGCAGGAGCTTCAGCAGATAGTGGATGAAGGAGTCCCTTTGCTTAATGTCGAGCAGAGGGTAGTCTATAATGCTGTGATCGAGGATTCAATGAATCATAATCAGCAAAGACCCGGACACACATACTTTGTCCATAGCACAGGGGGATGCCGCAAGACGTATCTCTGCAAACTCATCGCTTCAAAACTCTGTGCTGAAGGAAAGATTGTCCTCTGTGTGGCCTCCTCTGAAATTGCTTCCCTCCTCCTACCAGGTGGATGTATGGCTCATTCGCGATTCAAAATCCCCATTCCCATTAATGAGGACAGCTCATGTAACATTAAAAAAGGAGATGTCATCCATGAGCTTCTCAAGGAGACCTCCCTCATCATCTGCGATGAAATTCCGATGCTCCATCATCATATTCTGGAGTGCCTTGACTGCACGTTGCGTGATCTTCTAAACAAAGAGGCTGATTTTGGGGGAATAACCGTGCTCTTTGGCAGAGACTTTAGACAGACCCTGCCGGTGGTGACCCATGGATTTAGGGAGCAGATAGTGAGCGCTACCCTTTGCAGATCTCAACTCTGGCAAAAGCTTCGTATCTTCCACCTCAAGAGAAATATGCGGCTTGGTCAAGACCCCACCTCTGATGAATTTGCAAGGTGGCTCCTTGAGATTGGAGCTGGTGAGGGCACAAATGAAGATGGAACTGTGACCCTCCCTATTCATATGCACTGCCCCAACAATGATGTCCAGTCTGTCAAGACTTAAGACACCCAAAGTAGGATGAAGCCGAAGGCCAGGAAGCCAAAAAAGAGCGTGAAGCGCTCTTTTTTTGCTTCCTGTACCGAAGGCACAACGGGTGTGTGCTAGTTACGTATAATGTTAACCCTAAATGGATGGGTTGTTTCACTCAAGATGTCGCTGTTGCCATGAAGGTGCACACTGCTGGAGTTCCTGTCTGGCTTATTCGCAATGCCAGACTCGTTCACTCCAATATGAACATCATCAAAGTAGTTTCATTAACACCACCCAATGACCTTGTCATCAGCATGTACCACCATCCCATCAAAATTTTTGCTCAACCATTCGACATCATCACCAGATGTCCTAGCAATCGCTGGTGCCATGAGGCTGCTTGTCAGCCATATTCTGACTTCGAGAAGCTGCCCGTTCCAAAACCCCAAGTTGAACAACTTGTCATGAAGGAGTTATTGGTGGGGAAGGCCTGCGTAGCCAAAGAGAAGGCAAAGGCAAAGCTTGGAGCCCCTTCAGTGACTTGACCCTATCGTGTAGGCCAGCCTGCCTTGACAATGCTCCCTAAGAGTCAGGCCAACCCACCATGGGCCCACTATTGAATGTCATCCCATGGCCTCGGGTGGGCCGGCACCTGTATTGTAGCTGATGCATAGGGGTGGGACCATGGGTGTGAGCATTAATAGGCGAGTGCATTGAAAGGTGGGCCTGCTGTAGAATGCAGAAGTGGTGGTTTGACAGTGTTGAGTGGGCCCATGTTAGATCAGGATTGGCAGGTGTATGCTGGAAAAATGGATTGGGGACAGGATATTGGGAATACCTGTCAGTGATGATTCATTATCACTGGCATGTATATACTAAAAGGTGGGGTGGACAGGTGGACATTGGGAATGATTACCGGCGACAGTTTATAAGCATCGGCGGCTATACCCTAGCAATATGGTCAGCAGATGGATCTCGGGGGGTGCTTGCCGGTAGTGTGACACTGGAGTTGGTAAATAAATGGGCCCATGGACATCAAAGTATATCGAAGGGTGGGCCTATAGTGGACTGGAGAACTAAGATCTCCTAAGTGTTGAGTGGACCCATGGTCAAGAAGGATTGGCAACTTGATTCTGGGAAATGTGACCCTGAAAGGACATTGGGAGTGCTTTCGGTAATGATGTGCTGGGGACAGGTGGTGGGTACATATTAGAAATGGGTGCTGGCAATGGTCGAGGAATGGATATGGGGAATACTTGGTGGCAAAGGAGGCATGGCCACATAGTATTGACTTTGTTGTACTGATGAGCACACGGCAGATGGGTATATGGGCCACAAACACCTAACACCAGCACCACATGGGGTACTGGCAATTACAATCACATTACTCCCCCAGCACTGCATTATATGTGGTACATGGCATGATGTATCTAGTCATATTTAAATTGCTATGGAGCCTCGCTGAATAGCACTGGTACACTACAAGAAGAGCCTAGCACAAGGGTTCATGATGTCGGCACAGTAATACAAAAGGACCACACTTCCAGTGAACTTAGTGCCGCATGTGCCATAATTCAGGTGAGATCAGTGCCTCCGGCGCCGTGACATGATATACATATTATTGGTCATATCTCACCTGCTCCCGGTGAATGTGGTAGTATGCTCAACTATTACAGGCATAAAGTATTGGCCATTTTCTAAGTACACCGGAACCACCGGTACCAAGCAAGGCACCAGTACGAAAGTAAATACTACCAGGACCTGACATTACATTGCCTCAGTGACAAACCGCGAAATCTGATTCACCAATAGCACATATCACTGGCACCCAGTCCGGCGCTAGTGTGATGCCGGGACCTGACTATGCCTCTGTTTGAGTAAAAGGTACATGGTGCCTCCTGGACTTTGCACGTGCTGGGAGAGTAGCTTCAGCCTTCCCCTTATTGGTGACAACAGAGCCAGAGCCACCACACTTCTGCTTCATGTGATGGCACTGTGCACAAACTGCAAGTTCAACATGGGTCTTGTTGTAACCTTGCCAGCACCTAAGTTGCCTCTGAGCACAGGGGTTGCAGGCAGGGATCCACTCTGGCGCAGTGAGGTTGGCGTCATCATCCTCTTTAAGTCCATTCATTGGACCAGCGACTATGGTGGCTTGCTTGGGCTGCAACAGGTGAGCAAATGAATATCATAAAAATATATGACCTACTGGGATATCCACAAATGGAGTTCCCATTCTCAGCGCTGGACCAATGTTGGGCACCTCATCCAACTCGTCGATCTCAACATATCCTGGCCCATTCTTTGAGGCCGGGTTAGGGCCTGAAGTGGCCTTTGGTGCTGGCGCAACTTGAGATGCTTGCCTGTGGCCGAGATGGGAGTTCTTGAGTGCAGGAGGGAGCCTTGTTTCCAGTGTTCACTAAATAATGTCAGATACATATATAAATTGTGAAAAAGACTTACCTTGACTGGTGCTGGCTCCTCCTTGGCCACCGGCTGATCATCCAATTCAAGGTCATCATCACTAGTGATGATGGCCTTCGACTTCGCCCTCTGGCGCTTGCTCTTCTGGGCAACACTGTGACTCCTTGCGCTCATCGCCCTGGGCCATGTACGCTTGCCGCGATTGAGTTGGCGACCCTGATCATCATTAGAGTCAGTTGTAGGAGTGTCCTTGTCCTTGGATTTGCAGGTGCCGGTTACCTCAGAGGGCCCTGCCGCTGCAGCCAGCGCTTGCCCATAGCCAACAGAGAGTGGATAGAGGGGGCTCTGCTTGCTGCGAGGATCTTCTGGATGTACATTGGCCCAGACCAGCATCGTGACAACCTTGCAAAAGGAGCTGTCCAGGTGTTCATGCAGCTCTGCAGCTGCAGAAAGTATGATGGGTGGCACAGATTCAACCTGTAGTGCGTACACTGTGAATACATGAGTCTATTTATATATTAGTAAGTGACATTAGTCAATCAAAGTCAATCAAAAGCAAATACTTGCCAGTTCTTTTTCCATCTCGATTGCAATTGGGATGTGCTTGGCATCAGCACCATTCAATTGTAATGCTTGGCCAAGCAGGTGTTCCACCATGTCACCTGTGCGGCGAAACACAGCATTAGCGGTAGCGGTAACGGCCTCCAGTGGGTTGGTCATTGTGCTAGATTGATGACTGCAAAGGTACTTGAAGGTTGAAGTGTGTGATGAGTGGCGATGAATTGAGGCAAATATATATTAGTCTGATGTGGACCTTTGTGGTGGATTATGTCATTGTTGTTGCCACATTTAGGTTCCACAATACAAAAGGGTTTGTTTGTCATCATTGCATTGTGGAACAGGCCATCATGTGGACCTATTGTATATCTCATTGGCATATCTAAAGTGTAAAACTTCATGTGGACAATAGTGAGTTCGGTGGTAGCAGGGAAAATAGTGAGCTTGGCGGTGGTGTGGAAAATTCTAAGTTCAGCGGTGTGATGCCAACAAATGTGTGACCGAATATTGTTGCCAATACCTGGTGGTGTGATTAACCACATTTAAAATTATGTATGCGACAATAAGTAAATTTTACAAAGTCACAATTGCCAACCAATGAGAATCATCACCCATATCATTGTTTGCTGAAACAGATGGTCCCAGACCTCTTGCCACAAATGCCACACATGTTTAAACTCCGCTTCCATCATATAAATGATAAGATGTTGCTGTTCATCGATACATCATTGCAACCATGTCTATCCCTGGTTTCACCGAACGTGTTGATCCTGCCGGCGAGCATACAACAATTGATCTCACCAATGTCGCAAACATATTCAAATATGCCGCATCCCGCTTGTTAGCAATATGCATGACATTGGAGACAAGTCCCCTCATCAAATCAGCAAGAGTTCGTCACAATGTCACAAGATACTTAATATGGGAAGGAGATGTAGGTTTTATGGTGAGTCGCTGGCACATCCACTGATTGGTAGCCGAACAGGTGTTTATCACACCATGGGTGGCATTTTGTGAGGGAATGTCTATTAGCCCCCCGCTATCACAAAATCTATGATGCTTCCTCGGCATTATCGGCATGAGCCAGGTAGAGCTCATCAATGATAGAGAGGTCTACACCGCATTCATGAAGTTGCTGCCAGCGCCATCCAGCACTTGGGTGAGAGGTTGCATCATCAAGGATTATCCACTAGCATGGTGGACTACCAAATTTGACAAGGTGGACTATGGGCCCTTCACAAGTCACTTGCCCAATTGCAATGATGTCAGGGCAATGGTTATTGACTATTTTGAACAATTGGTAAGTCTTCATGTGCATTCATGATTGCGCTGTCTCACAATTGTGCAGCCAGAGGGACGTCTGCTCATCACGCCGGCGACATTGGTGCAGTCACACTCGATGCCAGTCGCACAGCAGTTAGCTACTATCCAGGCCACTGTCCAGCAAGAAGACAACCATATTATTGCGATGCTGGAGACAAAAGTGGTCGAGGCAAGGTTGGTTGCTGTGTCACTACTGAGGATGGAAACAGCTTTGGGTGAGGATGTGCATGCCGCTACAGAACACCTTGTAAAATATTTGAAGCAGGAGGGAAACTAGCGCCGCATGGTAGGTATCACGTAGTGTACTATTCAATGTATGGAATTTCAAATGTATGACATTGGTGATTATATCATTAAGTTCCATGCTTTGTGGTCACTACAATAGCTGCTACAGAGCAGTCTGAAGTATTTGAAGGACTAGGCACTGGACTGCAACATTACATCTAATAGTGTACTGTGTACAATGTATGGAATAAGAAGTGTATCCTATAGGCGAGTGTATCAATTATATGCTTGCCTACCAGAATTATAATCCGCTGAACGTTGCCGCCTGCTGACGATTGCCTCTGGTTGCACCGTTGGGATACAGAATCATTATGCTGATTGCATGCACTATTGAATACAATCCTCCTGTGATTAACACGACCCTTTCATGTACTTGAATGCATCCCTGGCATCGTGACATAGACGATGATACATTTTGCATTGCCATGCCACATATGCTAGGTGGCCCACCTTGTCCTTGGTGAGAGTAGCTAGGCATATCCATTTCTCTGCCTTGTGTAGGAAGAAATCACAAATCCAATTCATTTCATGTTGCACCAGGAGATGCTCTTCCTCCCAACGGTCTTTCAAAGCTTTGGCATGAAGCCAGTGCACACGGTAGACTACATAAAATGTTGATTATTAGTGCCGCATAGGTGAGTTGCATGATCAGCTCACATTCATTTAGCCAGTCACTATTCTGAGAATCACCATCAACATCCATCGACCAGAACCAAGCCAACATGGTGTTTCATTGGCCACGTGTATTTGGATTGGCGACAGCGGTGCTGACCTTGAGATGTTCTTTCAGCAATGGCCAGTATCTTGTTAGCAAATCATTGTTGGCACCAAGTTTGCAAAGCTGTGCTCGGCAGCTTGAATAAATACTTGCATTAATGCTTACTGCCTGATCCACTGAATGCACTTGGGCCCAAGCTCTGGTAGACATGGCCTGTGACTTCGCCGTTCTGACAGTCGTCCTGAAAATGACTGCTTTATCTGCTAGGTGCACTCTGATGTTGTGCAGGGCATCGTTTGCCTGTCCCTCCCGAAGGGAAAGTTCTTGTTGAATCAAATGGGTGGTGCCGAGAGTGGATGACATAGGGAGTATTATCTTTTCAGGCTCAAATAGTCAAAATTTATTGGCCATGCCATCATCGGAGTCTTTATAAAGCATGAGGAGCTCTTCTTCCATCACATCCATATCATCCTCTTGTATCCCATCTCCGAGGAAGGTAACACCCTTCCCCAGCCACCGGTCAATCTCATCTTGGAGTTTGTCATGGCAGCAAGCTATCTCTAGTCGTTGGCTCTGGGTTGGATGCCTACCCAACTTCCTCAAATCCATTTGGAGCCTTAGCTGTTCCTCCTCAATTGACAGTCCCTCTGCCAGCCAGGTCACCGAGCCACAGTGGCGCGCCAGTCTTGGTCACTGAGCACTCCGCTCTAACAACTTCAGTTCTTGTTCTTTTCTGGTCACCGCTGTATCATGTGAGTCCTGATCATGTACACATTATAGTTCACACCTTTTTGCAATTGGACCTTGTATATATCTATTATGGTGGGATCGATACTGCGTTGTTTCTGTGCAAGTCTCTCTTGTACCTCCCAGTCTCGAACTTTGGCTGGATCAGCGGTTTCATTGAGCTTCTAAAATGCTGCTGTGCTCTTGGTGACCCCTTTAACAGCTTGCTTGTATTTTCAGCAAAGGGCCCTGGCTGCATAGACCTAGTAAGTGTATTATATAAGACAATCAAGGTACCCACTCATTCTGATCATTTTCATAAAATTGCACTCATTCATTTGATAATCCAAGCACTCCTTATGATAAGGTGTCCCCATCCCACGGGCCAAAGGTGAGATGATGTTTAATTGTGCCCATAGCATCTCCATGATCTCACCATCAGTTCGTGCGGCGCCGGTGATGAAGTTGGAGATATATCGGACATAGCAGCTATCTTGGTGTCCATGGACATGCCAGAGGCCTATCCCGGGCACAATCTCCAGCTCCTTGCCAAGCTCTAGGAAAGGGCTGTCAGACACCCAATCCTTCAGATACCTACGATACTGGCAATTAATATCATAGAATGTTAGTGCACACCAAATGCTGCCGGCATTGTGTTTCAATGCCTTACACAAAGCATAGTCCATGTTCATCTGCCTAGTTGCTGAAGGTGAGTATGGAGCAGATGAGGTGATCTCGCACCAATCTTTCTCCCTTCTGAAAATCTACCATCGCATGTAGAACGAAGCAGCCATGCCTTGCGCATGCACACCCGCCGATGCTGGTTACTTCCAGCCTGTGCCAGAATGCATTTGCTTGATTCACAGTGTGGTGATTGTTGCATTTGGACCGCTGAATGGCATCTGTTGCCTGTGCCAGATGTTCCTTGTATGTAGCATTGCCGACCATGAAGCCGCGACCATCCATCAGGGCAACCTCATCCATTGGATTTGCAGCATGTAAGTGCTCTGCTTTAAAGTTGCCATCCATAACAAGCGATCTTGAGTAGAGTCAACCCAGAGTCTCAAGATCAGAGAGATTGTTGGGATTCCCTTGCCCATCATCATCTGGCAATGTCACATTAATGCCTGGCTGCAGACATGCCGGACAGAAGAGAGCAAGATCGCTGGGCCTGACTTCTCTGACCTCATGACTGAACCGGTACCAGATGAGGAAAGACGGTGGTGGTGATTCAGCACACATACAATACTTTACAATGTGTGTGTGTACTCCAGACTTGTTGACTATGGTGGTCATTTTCTTGCTATTTTCGATAAACAGCACACCTGTGGGTAGATCATTTGGTATATTTGAATAGTGGCCTTGGGTTGGCAGTTCATTCATGTTTGTATTGTCATTCGGTGCTGATCCTAGTGTGTCATTGGTGTCCTCGGTGTCGGTGAAAATATCCTCAATATCATCCAACTTGTAGTCCTGGCATGGGCAAGGATTTCCATTGTGCCCAAGGGAAATTAATAACCCAGTCTTGACCAAGCAGCTGTCCTCAAAGAATCCACCTGTCCACTGACTGATTCGATGGAAGGGGAGCCTCCGGTGTTCCAACCTGCAGCAATTTGTGCAAAAGAGTGGCTTGCTGAAGCCGCTGTGACACTTGTAGACACCATCTGTCCCACATATTATGCATGACCGGATGGCAGGAGCTTCTTTTTCGAGTAGTATTTTGAGATACTCTTTGGTCCTTGGGACCCATTGCCGAAGATAGTCCTTCTGACTCTTGAAACAAGCTGAAAATGAACAGGACACTAGACTTTGCTGGAAACACTTACCAGTGACTTGGGTAGCTGTAATGACATCACACCCTGGTGGTGCAAGTCACCGTAATCTTCTCCCCCATGATATAACATATCCTGAGATGGTTGCTTTGATGGTGACTTGGTAGGGGTGGCTGGAACTGATCAGATTTTTTGGATTTTGGGTCTCTCTACCCATTTCCCTATTACTTTCCTGGTTCAAAATTTTTTCTTCCATTCCACCACAGAAATATTGCTGGTTGGTGTCCACTCCTGGACTTTAGACCCTCCCATGTGCTGATTCCTGAAGTCAATGCTATGAGATAATTAAGGTGTCAGGCAGCTCAATTTTCCAGACTGTAACAAACTCTGATGTCTTATTAATATGCGTATACATTGATAGCCTGAGATCATCTGTTGCAACACTCAAGCTTTGACTGGTCTTTTGAAGAGTTTCTTTTATTAGAATTGGTCATATGGGTTATGATACAGCCATTTGTATATACAGGGGCCAGGTGATGCATTCAATTTATTATTATTATACTACAATTTATATTAAGCATCAAACAAGAATTAAGCTTCAGTGAGTCTTTAAACTGCTCCACTCCACTGGATGTATATCATTCTAATATTTCAGTCATATCTGCATATGTGACATGCAGTGATGTTTTTACATACAGGATGAGTAGAAGAGATCTATAGTACTATGGACCTGGATTGTGTAGCTAAGTAGCAGCGGTCTGTAGTATGATAGTATAGCTATATGTACATAATATGATGAACCTTGATGGGAACCGAGGAATAGTCTGGAACCGACAATTTTCACCGTCCTATTATCAACCATATGGTAACATGTCCCGGAGTGAATCACCAGTCATTGTCCCCCCACAGACCAAGCTTCTCCTGGTCAAGGCTGAAATTGCAGTCCTCAAGGCCCACATAGAGGACTGGAGGTCCGTCAAAGGTAAACAACAATTACTCATTTTGAAAGCCATACACAAGGAAGCTTGCCTTCAAGCACCTACCCGGGACAAAGCCTTGTTGAAACTTCAGAAAAAGGTTAGAACCAGTATGTCTGATGGCTCTTGATTTCTCATGACAGACTTACAAAGAGTGGTTGTATAACCAATGTCGCCAACAAGCCTCAAAGCCTCTCATCAAATATGGCAAGAAATGGACAGGTCACTGAATGTTGATTGAGCAGAACAAGGCTCAAATTCTAGAGGAGACTGGAGAGATGCCTGGGAGTGAGGCAATGATTGTTAAGTGGCCAGAGACTACTAAGACTGTCCTGGCAGGTCTGTCAGTGGAGGAGAAGGAAGAGGCAAATGTTTTTGCAGATAAGTGGAACAACAAAGCTGCTCCTTCCGAGGTCCAGACCAATGTTGCTGAGACCAAAGGTGCTGACATGATAGAGCATTTCGCAACTGAAATGTTCAAGCAAGCCAGAATGAGGGTCTTTGTGATGTCAGCATGACAGGACAGCAGGGGCAAGCTGATGTTAGGAGTGTAATTTTTGTGACTTCTACTCTGGTTAATCAACCTCAGATGATATCTTGTTGTAGACATGACCACAATGATCAGTTTGGTGCCACCAACAGTTTCTTGAAGACCAGGGATTAGAACCATATCTTTATGCCCAAATGGCAGCAATACGCCAGGGAACAATCATCTATCTCCCAATATTTATCTATGCTTAGATATCCAGGATCATGATGCCCCTCAGGTTGTCACCTCCAAGAAACAAATGCCAAGAACACTTCTCGACCTGGAGGAAGATGATGATGGGTTGCCCATGCTCCCTAATACCATGGGTTGAAAATGCAGTGAGCAACAGCATGTCATTTGGTCATTCCTGACCAAGCATTACAGTAAGTGAATGTTCTCTGTATCATTGATCCGGCTGAAAAATGCAAAGGGATATGCATGAGAACAGCAAAAGGGAAGGTGCTGGTGCCCTGGGGTGACTTGATCAAGAATCCATCAGATTTCTTTGACAGCACCTACTGGCCTACTGATGTACAGTTGGTGAAACCATCAAAGATGAGTAAAGCAGATGCAACTTCTCTGTTGGACTTCTGGTATTGCTGACAGCAAAAAAAATTTCATCCTACCTTTTGTTTCAAAGCTTGGAAAGACACTGACAGCGACATGGCGATGCCGGCCAAGTCCTGTCTGGAAGTCATTTGGCGGGCTGCTTGCCGCAACAAGGGAAAAACTCGCAAGATCTCAACACAACAACATAACAGTGAGCCAAGCACCGATGGTGAATTGGAGGAGAATCATTCATCCTCCGATGATGAGGAGCCTACATCAATGGCTGTTAATTGCCAGGAAACACCATCGCCAGCAAAGGTATATGCCTGCCAATATCTGATGATGCAACTGCTGATGTGCCGGCATTTCCTTACCTCTCAGAGCATTGATTCTGTGATATCATCAACAGTACCAGGGCCTACAACATTCTGAAAGACTGTGAAGATGTCAATTATTCTAAAGCCGCCGCAGAAACCACAGCCACCTTCAGGTGCACGTACCAGAAGCAAGAGTAAGGTATCCCATGCCAGAAAAGATCAACCATCAAAGTTATCAGAATGCCGCGCTGCTGCCGCCGCAAGCATTGACACACCGGCGAAGAGAACCAGGAGTAGGTGGATGGTCACTAAAGCTCCAAAGGCAAAGAGGAGTAGGAGGAAATGATCTTATTCATTAGTAACGACCTCAATAGCAATAACTCATTACTCCTACTACATATGAATGTCAACACTTGATCTTGCTAGCCATAATTGTAGCATGACGGCACCGCCTAACAACAAATACCAGAACCACACTGCCAGTACAATGTTCATGGTACTGGCGGTTGTTGAATTGAGTCCTGGAGTGGTACTAGCTGGAATTTCAATATTTATACTAGCCCAATAATCAAATCATCAAGTAAGAATTGGTATTTTGTGCATTACTAGCAATTACATCTTTTTTCTGAGTGCATACATGAATTGGTAATACAAAAAGATACATTGGGTATATATAAATCTACTCTGCATTCATAGTCTTTGCTTCTGCGGCTTCAATTTGTTGCAATAAGGAAGCCACTGTTGGGACGACCTGTTGATGAGCCTGTGAAATGTGATGCAAGCTTATGAGGTCTTTGAAGATCTGGGTTAGCCTGTCCCTGGTTTTGCAGAATGCGATGAGCATCACACGATTGGTTGCCAGTACTTCATCAGGGTGAGGATCCCGGACATCATCACCTGGGTCCAAGGCGGCGCCGACCATCATCTGGGCCAGTTCATCAACTATATGATGTCAGCTTGTGCTATGCCCTCTGAAAAATATCACGTACATTCTTCTCCTCCAAGGCGCTGCACAATGTCAATCACCAAAGATGCCAGGGTCGGTGGGACTAGATGCCCATCGCTATTTGGCAACATTACAATTGAATATACAGTCGATGTTCCTGCCAGCGCTGGCACTTCCTGAGGAGGTGACGGCTCTGGCACCTTGATGAGTTCAGGTTGCCACTGGCTAACTGGTGTCGGTAGCTGACATCCAAACTCGAATGCTACAGACAGTGGTTAGTACTACTTGATGGGAGCATAGTGTACTTACCTCTGTTATTGCTGTCATAGCCAACATGCTGGGAGGGACCACTGGCAGGAGGGCATGCCGGAGGTCTGGTCGAAGTTTCCTGGATGTTGACAGGAGCTTTGACAGGGATGTTAACACTTAAATTGAACAGCTGGGAGAGTGGCGATGCGGTCGCTGGCACCTTGGATTCAACTGGAATATTAAACCCCAGGTTGAATGGCTTTGCGATGGGGACACCAGAGATTGGTTGCAGTGATGCCGGTGGTACAATAGGGAGATTGAATCCCAAATTGAGAGGCTGAGCTCCTGTGGACAGCTGTACCACATTGGCCGGTGTGGGCTGCACAGTACTGCCAAATCCAAAGTTGAATGGTCCTTGCACGCCTGGGATGTCAAGGTCCATGCCGGAGGTCTGTATCAGATTGGCAGGCGTGGGTTGGACAGGATGGCTGAATCCAAGGTTAAATGGGCCTTGGGTGGCTGGGACATCCAAGTCCATACCAAGGTTAAACTTCAGCACCTCCTGTGCTGAAGAACTCGCTGGAGGCATTGGGAGATCCATGCCAAAGTTAAACCTTGGCACTGGCAATGGCTCCACTGGTGCGAGAGGAATCCCAGAATTGAAAGCTGAAGATCATTAAGCAATGTAATGATGCTGAATTTGGTGACTTCCGAATGAGATTGGTGCCTGCCTTTAAATTTTCGAAATGGACTTTACAGATTGGTCGGTTGGACATACTGAATTGTAGGTAATGTGAAGGACTGACAGAGTCATGGCCAACAGGTTATATAATGTTGACTTTGTGGACACTTGTGGAACTTAAAATGATTGAACCGAGACAATGGATCTCGGTGTGGGAACGGAAACACGTGATTCTCAAACATCTTCCGCATTGTCGCGTGTAACTGGCTTCGGTGCGAAGAAGTAACTGACTTCAAATTTGTTTTGCATAGGATATATAGATAATCACCGCTCTCATTCATCCATCTTTCTACCACATTTTCTGCATTATGCCCACTCCTGATGAGTCTAATGATGCTATGGGGGCTGCTACTGAGAAGATTCTTGCCATTCTGTCCAGAGCGGTGAAATTGAAGGAAGGTCACCCTGATCACCTGAAGTTGGCTGTGGAAGTCAGGGAAATCATGGTGGGTGTTCCTTCGTAAGGACAGCTGCATCAATGGGAGCTCAAGAATTGTCACACCTGCAATGTCTAGGCCAAGGCCAAGGTCACATACCAACACAGGAAAAGGAGCAGACTGGGGTATGGAGATGGAGGAGACCACACCTGGTGTTGGCAGCATTCAATTGACAGATTTGCCAATGCCACATATGTTGAAACGGAAAGGCAAGGAGAAGGATGTTGTGTTGCCAGGGCGGGAATCCAATTGCAAGGTAAACAGAGGCCAGATACCTTCAATGCAGAAGCGGAAGCGGGTATTAAGTTTGAGCCCACCACCTCCAGAAACCGGTGCACACCAGCCTGATGCCGCCAACACAATTCGTCAGGTATGTTTTTATGATTGGAATACCGCTGTGAGGTAATATTTCCACACAGACTGAGACATCAAAGCAGCACAAGGTACCTGAGAGTCCAACATCGCCGGGTCACAATTTGTCGAGGGAAGACATCAATGCAGTAAGTTCTCCAAGGCATATGCAATTGCCGGGTCTAATATATTCTAGGACAAGGATGGTCAGGAGCTGGTCCCACAGTTTGACCAATGCGACAAATCATAAGTTGTACTTAATATACTTAACACATTGTGTTGATCATACATGTATTCAGTTCTATCGTATGTCGGGAAGGATTTGGGACCAAAGGTGCCAGGCTCTGAGCTTGTGGACGTTGCGCCAGGCAGAAACTTAAATGTTCCCATGCTCATGCTAATGTTAAGCCCATGCCGAAGGACGATCCTCGCCACACATGTTCTGGGTCATTGCGCCATCAAGCAGCAGAAGGTACTCCTTGCCTAGATATATATGTGCTTTTTGCTGACTTGTCCAGACATGCTTGTTTCATATCATGATGTTGCCATCATTGACACTGCCGCTATCTCACCAGGCTCTCCTGTGAATTCACTCCTGCCGATCACAACTTTATCCCCCTCTCACTCGCCACCACCTGTACAGCAAACATCCCACGCCATGCCAGACACTCACAGTGGCTCTGCCGTAGCACTCACACAGCAATCCATGGAAGTCAACAATTCTGGAGATTATATTGTCGATGAGTTGCAGGCAATGACCTTGCTCCAGAATGAGTCAGTGGGAGTGGTCGCCATGAATGCCGATCTGCATGAAGTGGTCTCAGAACTGAGGGGATTGATTGCTCACCTCCAGGCCCAGCATCTCGCCACAACAGAGCTGGTCGATACACTAAATGCATGCATTGCCACCCAGGATATCAACATCCATGCCTTGCAAGGCCTTCATACTGAGGTTGCCGCATTGCAAGATTATGTCAGGACACTGCAGGAGGAATCGGCAAATCGTGATGAGAGTTTGTGGCGTGCTCATGAGCAAATTGCCCGGCAGGAACACACTTCTGGCATCCTTCAGGATACCTATAATTCATTGCGACTTTGTGTTACTGGGCTAGCTCAGCAATTGTCTGCCCCCTTCAACAACGCATTGTATCTTGCCAATCTGGTGTATGGCGCCAACCAAAACATGATGCCTGTCAGTGTTGGCCAGATGGCAGCCATGAAGGGCTTATACCTCAACTTGCCTCCAGGCCACTCTGGATTTGGTGGCCCATCTATTAGGATCATCCCCGGCGGTTCTGGATTGGGTGGTCCTGTTGGGCAATCTATCAGCAACAATGCCTGTGGTGCATCTCTTAGAAACATCCCTGGCACTTCAGGATTGACCGGTCCCTCTGTTGGACCGTCTATTAGCCAGGTTGCCAGTGGTTCTGGTTCAGGTGGAGATACCCAACATGGGCCATCATCAGGTGTGGAGCCACAGTCTTAGTTGTAGTCCTGGTACTTAGATTGTGCCCATGTGCTGTATGTAGTCTGTTGGTGGGCATGTTAACTGCCCTTGTTCTGATTTGCCAACAATATACCAATGTTGCAGCTCTGAAATATCCAAGAACATGTCACCAGCGACGATATATGAACACCGGCAACATTATGTGCATTACTTCAGGTAACTAGTAGGTAAATAATGCTGCAGGGTATAGATTGTCACCGGCAACATTATGTGCATTACTTCAGGTGTCTAGTAGGTACATAATGCTGCGGGGTATAGATTGTCATTGGCGGTGATGCAGGTGCCATGAGTGATGGTTTGCTGGCTGTTTTATTACAAATGCCGGGTAATGTTACACCACGTGTAGTATGCATGGCTCATTATGTTTGTCCTCACCACCCAATGTTCATTATTTTATGTAACCATTTTGCTGCTGGACATATATATAGTACACGGTGATTGGTAATATTGTCAGGCATCCATGCTTCCCATTCCCACTGACTGGGCCTTGGCCACGACCCATATTGCAAGCGAATATGTCTACCACCAGCTCTTTGCTCTGATTAGTGGGGGGCCAAATGCCCTTCCTCCCCTCGAACTTGATTTTGCCATGGTCATGGCATGCTCCAGACTGGCAAGTTCCCTCGCCAAGGCCTATCATAACCCAGGTATGCCTGTCATTGGTGCTGCTGCGATCACAACTCATCAATTTCAGTAACCATCAACTTTGATATAGCTAGGTATGCAGATGTGCTTCAAATGATGGAGAAGGGCATGAACCCTGATTGGTGTAGCGATGGTTGCGGCACTGGGCTCAGAACCACAGTTTTTCATACTCATGTGAACACCCAAAACATACGCGCACATGTCCGACGCACTTTCGCACATGTCCAAGCCACTCCACATCAGACCTTCGGACATCACATCGGCCGATTGCACTTTGCACGCACTTCTCCATCCTGTGTCCTGTCCATCCGAACTAGCCTCACTAGGTGCGTAGCTATTCCCGTGCACGTCTTCCGACACTTGGACCATGTTATTACATGTCCGCAGCACCTCGTGTCTTATTACATAGGACATCGGACCCGAAATATATCACTACTATCTTTGCCTGTAGTATTCCGAATTTCTATGTACTTACTTAAATACTCTGTAGTGACCCGTAGCAATTATTATCCAGTAGTTAGGAGCAGTTTCCCGACTCTGCGGATCACCCAGAATATCCTCGTAGCTCTTAGTTGCATTGTGAAATATTACCATTCGTTCACCGTCATACTATGTCACTCGTTATACTCACGCATACTGCTCGCAATCCGACACTCGTTATAAAGTTTCTGACCTATTATTGTGAAGTCCGAAAGTCCGAAATCTCAGACATCGCACTTTGGCTTCGGACATCATCGGGTTACCTTCGGACATCGTTTTGCACCATCGGACATTCAGTTCTTTGCATTACTGACACATTTTTACTACTAGTACCAATTAGCAATCCCTTTAGGATCAAACGCACTTGCTCTGCAAGTATAGCAGCATAGGTCATGCTAAAGATCTATCTAAACATTGTTGACTAGGTAGTACAGTTTCTGCTGAGCCCAGCGGAGATTTACTCTTTACACCGTACTTTGAAAGTTTCCGCAAGGTATTGTCGACATGGGAGCACTTTCCCGAGTCCCTCAAGAAGCCTCTCAATGATACCGGACGTGAGCACAATTTGTGGAAGGGGATGAAGGAATGTTGTGTCTTTTACGTTCAGTCTTATTTCAACAATACTGGACGTCCACCTATCATACCTCATCTCCTGTATTCGGTGGCGTAGATCTTGGTGTGGTATGCCCTTTACCCATTGCAATTACTGTACTATTAAATGCATATACCCCAATTAGTCAACAGTTTGTATACCATCATATGTTACCAATGCTGTTTTGGTCATAAGTGGACTTTATCACGGACAAAGACCCTATCCTTAGGGATTGAAGTTTATTTTCTGCACACCTGCTAACATCTTGGTTTCACAGAACAGAGTGCACATGAACAGGTATAGAGTTCCTTTCTTCACATTTCCTAGCCCTCATCCGCTCTGAAGGTTGATCGACCTATTCGCCCACTTTATCATCTTCCTTTTCAATGCAAGTTTGGGACTTCGAGGTCCTCCTAGCGTTCAGTAGTCGACTTCATGTCCCTGACCTCAGTGCAGGCTTCGTGCTTGCCTTTGGTTGTCTCGTCATGGTCTTATCCATCACTGGGCCGACTACTCCATCACCTTGCAATGCACAGCACAGACTCATCACTTCTTCAATGGTGAAGAGGAAGTGGCGACCGCAGCAAAGCCGCAATTTTCACCTTCCTACAGCCCCCCCACTACTTGTACTTCCTGGAAGAAAACACCTCACACAACAATCACCCAATATTGCAGGAAGGTCACAGCAGCAACAGCCTTTGGGCGATGCCAGCTCTGCTGAACAGCATGATACTGCATCTGCTGGGGATCTTTTAGAGGAAGGCTCATCTTTCTACAACTCACTCCACTGCATCTCCGATGCCGACTTACTCCCGCCCTGCTGTTCGAACAACTGCCAAAAGAAGATCAATCAGTGGTGGCACTGGACAAACAAAGTCATTCCTTCCTTGATCACTCCGTACCTTGCATACTTGTGCAAGTCAACATCTCTCTGCAATTGAATTGGACCGCAGCCAGATGAGCTTGCTGCCTTTCAGTGTAGGTCCTCTTGTCGACGGAGGGCTCTCAAGATTACTTGCATACTTTTCAATTGTATGTCTCTCTTATTACCTGGGCTATTGGTTGCATGATAATATCATAGATATTGAGATACTATGAATTGATTGCTGCACTTGTGCGCCTGCTCCCCTTCAGCTCCTGGCTCGCAGTTATTTTGCCTGTGCTCCCATTGCCCCTTCTCTCACTGTGGACCTTCAGCTGCTGGAACTTGTCAAGACTTTGTTTGTGCATATCACTCCCAACATGACTGCTTGGTGTGAAACACTCAAAGTCTTTCTGGCTGGCCGTGGGTATCAACTTACCACCAAGGTTAGTCAAGCATCTGTATTGAATTTTGGTCATCTTGATCAATATTATTGTAGGATAATCTTCACCGTCAACTTGGTAATGCCTATCATTGGTACTCTGTTCTCCCACTTTCTGTGTCATCCAATGAGGGATTAACACGTCCAAGTGACTATCTAAGGTCTCGTTGTCCGATTTGTTTTGGCTCATATGATTGGCAAAAAAGTGGAACACTTAATCTCAGGTAAGCTCCTTCGATATCAGCAACTAAAATAATTTTAAAACATATAGTAGACCTGACGTCCACACTTGTATTGATGCATGCTTCACTCAAAAGTGTTCATCGGATCAATGCAGCAAAGGTCCAGATCCCCCAAACCCACTTAGATCAGTTTTGCTTTCGAATGACAAGGTGGCATCGATGGACACCCATGTGTGAAGTTGTTGTGACAGACCCCCTGCTTGGGCTCGCAAGAGAAAGCGACCTACAGAAGAGGAGGAGAATGGCTATGAGAATGGCATGCAAGTCCTGACCTCTGCACTAGATGGCTGTGGTGCATCTTTTTCTGCCGCTGATGAAAAATGTGAAAAGGCTAGCACCCAGTTTTTTGCAGACACAGGGAGGCTCACTAACATAACGTCAGCGGGAGAAAAGCAGCACTATGCTCTTGCCCTGATCAAGAAGATTTTTGATAATATCCCTCCCAAGATGACTGTCGGCCTCTTGTATGATATTGGCTATCAACTTCATTGAAGTTGTCTCAAGTACCGACTCCTTGATGATGCCATTCTTCGCTGGATAACTTTTGCAATATCAGTCTTTCATGCTTACAGCCACCAATGGGCCTGTCAAATCATATACCATCCTCACAAGTGTGAAGGCTTTGGCCTTTCTGATAGAGAAGGTTGTGAGCGTCTATGGAGTGCACTCAAACATCTTATTGCTCTGCTACACGTTTCTGGGGTGAGTGTTCCCTGGTTCAAGAATGGTTGCATACGGGTTATAGCCACTCGTTTACAATTGCCATGGTTGTACTATAGATCACCTCTGACTACAATTTATATACTTCCTACTTACTGACCACTTTTTCAGTTTCATCAGCGACTTTTTATCCTTGACACTCAGGTCCGGCACCTGGATGACAAAAACCTTGTTTTGTTTGGCAGCTGGTTGAGCCAGAGGTGGAATAACTACACTAAGAAGAAGAGTAATGCCATGCAAGCTCTATGTGAGCTTTCAGTGGATGAGACTGCTGTTGTCACGAGTACCTTTAACAAACCATTATTCTTTCTTAAATCTTCCTAAGCGCCAATACACAGCGCCTAAGACAAACCCTAACCCTACCCTGAAAGCGTCTACCAGTTCAGAGATTCCATTAGCGCCCACGACACGTGTCTTCGATGTGACTGATGAAGAAGACGAGTTCTTTGATTGTGATTAGATTAGATAAGATACGATAAGATAAGATACGGTCACATGATACTTCTTTAATATTCTACGATGTTCTATGGTACGATTCCCTTTTCTATTTTATGATTGGCTAGTAGTTGTAGCTCAGTTTCAATCTCCGTTTCAATAGTTGTATATAGTTAGCATGTCTTGGTAGATAGTTCCTTAGTTCAAACCTCTTGTATCTACAACTGTAGCAATCCAAGACGTACTTGCTCATCGTCCTCTTTGTCCGATAACCCTTGTTTGAGTCCTAGTCTCTGCCCAGCGTTAATTCGTTATTGGGTTGTGACAGCTGTCCATCAGCAGTGGAAATTACAGGTTGAACATCAGACGAGACCCCTGCCTCGTAAGTGTCATGTTAATGATCCAATCATATTATTCATGTATGTGATCTCAACAGGAAGATTGAAGACAAGTAATGATGAGGAAATCTCAAAAATCCTCTCCCTCGAGAAATCTCTTGTTGAGCTCGATGGATCATTGCGATGCATGGAGATGCAGCTTTGTGCAGGAAACATCGACAAT